CTGTCCCTGGGGCTCACGGCGCATGAGCGGGCTGGCCACAGCTGCTGGCGTGCAGCCTGGGGACTGCCCCCGGGGCGCACAGCGCATGTGTTGCCCAGCCTGGCCCGGCTACCGCTGCTGGCAGTGGCAGGGAGGGCGTGGACACCCCTGACGTCCTCCCAGGGCTGACCCGAGCCCTTTTGGGGCCCCGGGCCCGGGCGTGTGGCGCCGCCCCCAGGGTGCACAGTGCATGCGCAGGACTGCCCCTGGGGCACACGGCGCATGAGCGGGCTGGCCACAGCTGCTGGCGTGCAGCCTGGGGACTGCCCCCGGGGCGCACAGCGCATGTGTTGCCCAGCCTGGCCCGGCTACCGCTGCTGGCCGTGGCGGGAAGGGCGCTGCTAGCCGGAACTGCGGGAGCCGGGCACGCAGTGCCTGATGGCAGCTGTAAGGGATGCCGTGTGCCCCTTACAGCTGCCATCAGGAGCCCCCCATCGGTTGGCGCTCTGGGCAGCTGCCCGGCTAGCCCATGCCTCCATCTGGCCCTGAATACTCCCCACCCAAAGCTGACTGGATCAGTCAGGGTCCAGTTGAGCCTTATAAAACACTCCACAAGGACGTACAGCACCCAGAGAAAACCCACAAAAGGGGGCCCGAAGCCGAAGGCCTGCAGAGTGCCCAGGAGATGCCAGTGGTCCACCCTGTCGAACGCCTTCTCCTGGTCCTGGGATAGGAGGGAGAATGGCAAGTCATCCCTACACCCGAGCTCCAAGAGATCCCGGACCAAGTACAGATTATCATAGGGTATGTCTACACTACCCCGCTAGTTCGAACTAGGGGGGTAATGCAGTCATCCGCACTTGCAAATGAAGCCCGGGATTTGAATTTCCCGGGCTTCATTTGCATGAAGCCGGCCGGCGCGATTTTTAAATGCCGGCAGTTCGAACCCCGTGCCGCACGGCTACACGCGGCACGGAGTAGCTAGTTCGGATTAGGCTTCCTAATCCGAACTAGCTGTACATGCCAGTTGTGAAGGTCGCGGAGGTCCCCCTTCTTCAGTGGCAAGGTGAGCACGGCTCACCTGCATGACAGAGGGAGGACCCCGCTCTGCAAGGACTCAGCCCAGGCAGCGATGAGGCCTGGGCCGAGGATGGCGCAGAACACATGGTAGAACTCCACGGTCAGCCACTGACCCTGAGCGGGAAACGTCCCTCCCTGAACCTTGATGGGCAGCACTGGACTCTAATGACTCACATGGGAGGAAGCCAGGGGGCGGGGCCAGGGATATAAAAGGCCTGCCCAAAAGGCCAGTCAGGGCCCAGCTAGCAAGGGAGCCAGAAGCCTCCCCAGTCCAACGCAGTGAGGAACCAGAGCCAGAGGAAGCTGATGACTGGCTTGAGCTGCCAGGCCCGCTGCTGGAGGACTATCTGGAGGGTCTGCTTATCTGGCCGGAGAATTCCAACACTCGCTGCCCAGAGGACCTGCCCCGGAGCCAGGTACAACCCGAGGGGGGAGAAATGGAACCGGCCCAGGGATAACCAACCTTGGTCTGGCAGAGGATCAATGGGCTGCGGTATGGACCCCTGCTGGCCCAGCAACAAAAGGTCAGTCCATTTTGGGCACGGATCCCCGCTGACCCAGCAGCCGAGTCAGCTGGTGTAGGGCCCTGGGCTGGGACGTGGTGGTGTAGGGACGGCCTGCGTCCCCCCTGCCACCCACTAATCAGGTGGCAGTCTCCCGCCCCCCTCCCTCCCCGCTACCACAGGCAGGGTGCCTGAACCACTCCTGAACAAGGAGAGAGTCTCTCTCTGTGTTTCTTAAACTTTTTAAGACGGAGGAACACCAAACAATACTTTTTTTTTATAAGGAACAACAAGGATTTTTTAAAAAAACGACAAGGAGTCCTGTGGCACCTTATAGACTAACTGAAGTGTAGGAGCATAAGCTTTCGTGGGCAAAGACCCACTTCGTCAGATGCATGTAGTGGAAATTTCCAGAGGCAGGAATAAATATGCAGGCCAGGATCAGGCTGGAGATGACCAGGTGGATCCAATCAAGGAGGATGAGGCCCACTTCTAGCAGCTGATCTGGAGGTGTGAATTCCAAGAGAATAGAAGCTGCTTTTGTAGTTAGCAAGCCATTCACAGTCTTTGTTTAATCCAGAGTTGATTGTGTCAAACTTGAAGATGAACTGTAGCTCAGCAGTTTCTCTTTGAAGTCTGGTCCTGAAGTTTTTTTGCTGCAGGATGGCTACTTTTAGATCTGCAATTGTGTGTCCAGGAAGATTGAAGTGTTCCCCTAAGGATTTTTTGTTGAGGGGGAAAAAAAAAGGTCGCTTGCCCTTTAAGGGCGGTCATTTTGAACTCTGTTGTTCTCCGTGGCGCACCTCCGACTGCCTGACGGCACACCGGTGTGCCACGGAACACAGTTTGAGAAACGCTGGTCTGTCTGCTTGTGTTTACCTGTGGGGAATTGGTTCTAAAGCGCTTGATCACTGCCGGGCAGGGCTGCACCAGGACTGGGCTACAAACTACCTACTGTTGCAGCCCTGTCCTGCACTAGGACTTGGCTACGAACTGATTACTGCTGCAAGCCCACCCTGCGCTAGGGCTGGGCCTAAACTTCTACTGCGGCAACCCGGCTCTGAACCGGGGCTCAGACTTAGACCGCATGGCCACCCACTGACCCCGAGGGGGACACCCCTCTTCCCCCAGGGTGCACCCCCGCGGGCTACAGGGTGCTACAAGGAGGAAGGAGAAAAATTGTTCCCCTTGGCCTCTGGGGATAGGACAAGAAGCAAGGGGCTTAAACTGCAGCAAGGGAGGTTGAGGTTGGACGTTAGGAAAAACTTCCTGCCAGGCTGGTTAAACGCTGGGATAAGTTGCCTGGGGAGGTTGTGGGATCTGGAGATATTTAAGAGCAGGTTGGACACACACCTGTCAGGGATGGTCTAGATCAGAGGTGGGGAAAAGGGCCTCCACGGGCCAGATCCGGCTCACCAAGCGGGTTGATCCGGCCCGTGGAGGCCCTGCCGTTCCCCCGCCCGCAGGCCAATTAGAGCTTGGGGGCGGGGGAGCTGCGCGATGCTTCCTTCTCCCTGCCCTGGTCCTGCGAGGAGCACACAGCACTTCAAAGTGCCACATGCTCCTCACAAGGTGGGAGGAGGCTTCGAGTGCTCCCCCGCCCCTAATAGGGCTGGGGGGGGGGGAGCGTACAAAGGGCACAGCACAAGGGAGTGGCATGGGTACCTAGTGGGAAGGGGGGGCAAAGGGAATCCCCCACCCCGAGACCAATCATGGTCTGTAGGTGGGCTAGCCCACAAACATCCTGGCCCCGCCCCTTCTGGTTTAGGCCCCGCCTCTTCCAGGCGGCCTGGGGGCTCCTCAAAAATTTTTGAAGGGGCCCCCGGCTAAAAATGATTGCTCGCTCCTGGTCTGGATGGTGCTAGGTCCAGCCGCGAGTGCAGGGGCCTGGACTTGATGACCTTTTGAGCACGGTTCCTTGGAAGGGGCATGCCTACACAGCCACGCACAAAACATCCTTCCCCCGCCCACCACCTCTGCAGAGCCACGCGGCAGGCGGCCGCTCTGGTGGGCGGAGCTGCCACAAGGCAGGGGAAGTAGGGGCCTAGTCTGGTGGCTGGGGCTGGGAACGGGACGTGTCACATGGCAGGGGCGTGTGTGTCTGCTCCAGCGGCTGGGAGCCGGACTTGCTACGTGGCCAGGGAGGGGAATGTTCTGCTTTGGCAGCCGGGAATGGGTGTGTGCTAATAAATTGGGTGCCACAGTGGCACCCGCCCAAGCCCGTGACCTCAATATCCGATCCCAAGCCAAAACACCCTCTGCTCATGGTTGGAAAATCTTAGCGGGACCCCTGCTCTCGAGGCTCCTTCCAGTTCTGTAATCCTGTGACTTCCAGCTCTGCTAGAGATCTGTGTGCTAGCTTTGACGGAGCTACTGTACTAAAAATAGAACGCGGACAGCCAGCTGTTCCACCTACGATCGTGGGCAGGATCGTAGTCGGGCGGCGAGCCCGTCCCACCAGCCGTACTGCCTTGGCTGCATGTTGTCTGGACCATCCCCCTCCCAATCACAGCACCTGTTGCAGGGCAGACCTATCCGACTACATAACTGGGAAATGCCAGGTGCCAGGGCTTTACCCTGGTAAGTTACCAAAGCTTGAAGCATGGTTGCTGGAGATGCCCCTATATGCATGTTGGGCACTGGATGCCCCTCGCCTTTTTCCCATAGACTCCGTGGCACCTTGATTGCTGGAGCCTCAGAAGTCTTAGTCACCGGACCTGGCTCCTGGAATAATATTGGGTGGCTTGGCTGCTAGGGCTGAAATGTAATGGACAGAGGCAGCATTGTCATGAGGAGGGTCAGTTCGTAGTGATGATGTATCATGTTTGTTACGAGGGGCCACCGGGGAAGGGGGCCCCGTGGTGTGAGATGCCGCCCACACCTGCCACGTGGAGTTTTGCCATCGAAACAGACCAGACAGACACAGCGTGGGGAAAGGGACAAGCCGAGGGGACTGTGTGCTAGTGGCGAAGGTCACGGCCGCGCTGCGATTGCAGCGTTGTTTTGTTATTTCAACCGGTGCAGCGGTTGCCGGAAGGGGTGAGTTGTGTGGAAAGGCAAAGGAAGGAAGGGGAGGGCTCATTTTACGAGAGAGCCCAGGGATTCTTCTAACTATCTGATTGACATCCAAAGCTGAGAGACGATGTTGCTCGTAGCTGCCCACGGCTCGCAGGGCAAAAGATTAGCAAACAATCCAATTAAGTTAATTTGGAGGCTATGCTTGCTCCTGTGTATGGGACAGGAAGGTTTTACATTAAATATAGCAACACTGTTGAAGCATATGGGAGTATGGAAAGGAACAGTTAAGGGGAGAGGTAGCTAAATGTTCAACTATGTTCATAGAATCTCAGAAAAATATAGAGTATCACATAGAATATCTACCCCTTGTCCCTTTATACTCAGCACATTTTCTGGGAGGATGTCTTTGTTATGAATTCTATAGGTCTAATGCCGAGATCAGCTGTTCTAAAGGATCCAGATCCCTCTGGCTCACGGCGGAGATCATGCTTTCTAGAATGTCCCGTGGCTGTGTTTTCTCAACCGAGATTTGACGATGCCCCGATGGGGCCCTGCGGATGCTAAGGTTCCTGGTTTTCTTCTGCTTCTTCTGAGCCTTTATGAAATGACTCATGGGCTAGACAGATTTTATAGCACCTGTCACTTTATCAGACAATAAGGCCAGCTTTTGTAAAGCATTGTTCTTTGTTTTATCTTTTTTTTTAATTCAGTTGCAGTTGACTGTATGCAAAACCTAAAGATTTCCAATCAAACACTGTTTAACTAATGAAAACCCCGGGACTGTTCGTTAAGCCTATAACTTCTTTGTACCTAACTCTTAATAATATAAACAAGACCCACAAGACAGCCCTGACCTTCCAAATGACAATTACAATACGGGTTGAATCTCTGTGCTCTGGCAACATCCGTGGTCCGGCTTGATTTGAGTTGGCCAGATGGCCACTTATCATGGGTGTTGCTAAGTTTCCTGCAGTCCCATAGAGTTTGTTTACAGCCACTCGTCCTGGGTCCCAATATTCTGTGCTGTTATTTAGCTATCGTTTATCCCTAAAGTCTTCTCGGAGCCCAGTAAACGGTGGTAATGCAGCTAGACAATATTGACCTCCTAGTCAGGCCTGGAGGGTGCCACACTAGGGAGGTTCACCCAGTACAATCCTCACAGGATTGCTGACAAATTATAGATGGAGAACGGAGCAACACCCATCTTTGACCAATTCAGATAACTCAGCGTTGCTAGCCAATGGCATTATGTCCTCAAAAGGAATCAAGGATTTACAGTGCTGTCACCTCTCATGACTTGTGACAAGTATTGCAACATGGGCTGTTTTACAAAATTTTTACTTCAAGGCCTAGACTGATGAATCACAGTTTATATTTCCAAAGTACATTTCTAGCCCAGGGCAGTGGAGGAAAGCTTGAACTTGGGACCTGAGTACTTCCCGGAGGCTCAAACCAAAGGCAAAGGAAAGGCACCCCGAATGGATTTAAAAAAAAAAGAGCTCATGATTTTGAAGCTAATCTTGTGGTTTTTGAGAGGCGTGGCTTGTGGTTTTTGTATGTGATGTTGTTGTTGCTGTGCTGGTCCCAGCATATCAGAAAGACAAGACGGGGGAGGTAAGATTTTCTATCGGACCAACTTCTGTGGGTGAGAAAGACAAGCTCTCAAACTGCACAGAAACTATGTACGCTACCACTCACATCAGTACAAGCTATGTTACTCTGCCGTGTGAGTAAGGCCTTGTCTACACTGGCAGGTTTTGTTGCCAAAAATTCCCTTTTGATGACAAAATAGTAAGGGTATACACACTATAATGCAATTTTTACCAGGCAAAACACCCAGCTTTGGCAACAAAAAACTTCCAGCCCTGCAAGAGACTTTTGTCTTTCCCCCTCCCTTTATTGTCAACAAAGAGCCAGTGTGGACTCTGCTGTTTGTTTTGTCAAGAGACCTGACTTCCGCCAGGATCCTATCATGCCTGTCCTGATGGATCGGCCCAGTGTTTTGTGATCTCTGCTGCCCTGCAGGCATGCACCCCTCCCCTTTCAAAGCTCTGAGAAGTATCTGACAGCTGAGTGAGCTGCTCCCTTTGGGGAACAAAGAAAGAGCAAATCATTGGAAAGCTCCTGTTCTGCCCTGTTAGGAACACAGTGGCAGGCAGGCTGCTGCTGCTGAGGGAGGGCTGGAGAGACGGCCGTGCTGCTTTGACGTTCCTCAGCACTGAGAGCTCTCAGAGTAAGGAGGGAATCTCAAAAAGTGCAGGGATCAGCTCTGCCTTCTCACAGCATTTCACTGTGGGATGCTTACCCACAATGCTTTGCTGTCTCTGTCAACAGGAGCTAGCAATGTGGCCAGGTAATGTCGACAACAGGAGACAGAAAAACTGGGTTTCCACTTTTGGCGACTTCTGCATATCGACAGCACTTCCGTCGCCCAACTTTCCCCGTGTAGACAGCCTGAGCCATTCCTCCTGAACAAACATACATTATGCTCATCTAAGCCTCAGTGTGGGGCTGGGGCTATGTTGGTGGGAGAGCTTCTTCTGATGCCTTAGCTACTGCCGCTCGCCCGGGCTTAAGAGCATCTGCCTTGATGTAAGCTGTGTAATGTAGCCACAGCCAGAACTCTGTCTCAGGTCTGGGAAACATAAGCTGAGCCTCACCGTGCAAACCACGGTGGAACAGATTGTTTGGCAAAGATAGCTGATGCCTATTTTAAAGGACCGTTCGTAGTGGAATGTCCCATTAATACTTCTGCAGCTATAGGACAAAAACGTGTCGTGGGTTATAGATTGTTGTAGTAAGCCCTAAATCCGGTGTCTGTCAGTCCATGATTTCTAGTGTCCAGCAGAGTTATGAATTTATGCTCCCAGACTCACCTTTTGAAGGTGATGGGCAGGTTTCCTTTGAGGCGTCGGACCTGGAGTGTCTGTGCTGCGAAAGTGTTTGTTCACCGATGACGGGGTGGTTTTTTTTTTTTTTCTCATTTAACCTGTGCAAGTGGACTCGAGCGTGTCGTGTGCCGAAGGAGAAACACCACATGTTATGATAGGCATTGGGGAGGTGGGGTCCCTGCATCGCGAGGTGGGCGTTGTCGATCAGTGTCATGGTGGAGATGCGTCTGCAGGCTTCGCAGGTCATGTTGTGGGAGCATCTGGCGCCACGGGGTGTGGGTGTGTCCTGATCTGTGGGGAGCTCGTTGCTGCGGCGGAAATGGCATAGATTGGGAGTTGTCCAAAGGTTGGAACTGGGGGTGAAAGAAGATTTTTCAGAACTGGGTTAAAGTTGTTTGGGTATGGACCCCGCTTGTGTAACTCACACACCTACTGGGTGTGGGTCGCTGTCACTGAGACTGCTTACAGAGAGAGCGAATAATCTCAGAGGGGTGGCCATGTGAGTCTGTAGCTTTAAAAACAATGAGCCATCCTGTGGTGTCTTGGAGACTAACAAATACATAGAGAGATTCATGAGCTTTTGTGGGTTAAATCCACTTCCTTAGATGATCAAGATCATCTCTACTGAAGAAGTAGGTTTTGCCCATAAAAGCTCATGATACTAATCTGTGTTTTTGTTTGTCTCTAAGGAGCAACAGGACTACTCGTTGGTTTTAGAGAGACCGAGTTTCCTTGACAGCTTTAGCTGAGAGCTGGTAGAGGCTTGTGCACTAAGCTCCAGAGGTGCCAGGTTTGGTTTTGCTTGTCAGCCTTACGCATGAATTGCAGCGTTGGCCGGCAGATCTCACAATCTCTGAACTCTTGGGGGTGGCGATACTGAATTTACCTCAACCAACCAATAATTGCCTGCCAAACAGGCCATATCCAGGAACAGAGTCTCATTTGCCCAATTCCCAAGATAGTTTCCAGAAGAATTCTCATGCACCCTCACATAATCCCAGAAATACTTTTGTTGCACGCCGGTGTGCAGGGGGCATGGAACGGACTCTACTGTGGTCAACATGGTAGAAACCCATTGCTGAGACGAGCCTGCTCGTGATGGCCACTCTGGAGCTACCGGGGAGTAGACTTTGAGGTGTTTCCTTAGAGACGTGGGGGAAGTTTCTGCAGCTCTAAGGAAATGACTTTGTGGTTTAGCCATCAGCACTTTTGCAACCGAATCCGTGGTTAAAATCAAAGAGCGCCGTTCAGCCCTGGAAAACGTTATCTCCCAAACCCCTTTGTTCACGGGTGAAAGCAGAGCAGTGCACTTATGTTTTCTCTAGGCTGCAGCCGGCAACCCCACAGTAAATTGCTTGTTGGCTAAGTCTGCAAAGGCCGCACATTCTGCGAGGTAACCAGGGGGGCTGACAGACTCGCCAGCCAGGCCTCTGGGTAAAGTGGGGAGCTGGCTCCATGCCCTGGGAGGGATGGGGGCTTGGATGGAAGGGGCAGGGCTGGGCCTAGCCTCCCACAGGCAGCCCTCTCATTGTGCGGGGCTCCGGCAGAGATTCAGAGGGCGCTGGGCTTTGCCTGCCAGCACTGCTGCAGGAGCTGCGGGCTCTTTTGAACTGCCAGGCGCCAGGGAAATCCTCCTTCCCTCCCCCATGGCAGGCGTGTAGGTGGCTCTTCTCTGTTTGTAGTGTGACAGCTCTTGAAGGGCGCCCCTGGTCCATTCCAAAATGCCAGGGAATGTTCTAGGCACCGGTGGCCAGAATCCCATTAGAGAGAACATGGAAAGGGGGAATCATGTGAGCTCCAGGCCCTCTGACTAGCTCAGCCGGGGAAAGGGGGGAGCCCCCGCTGTGGAGAGGCGAGTGGGGGGAGGTGCAATGCAGGGCACACAAAAGCACTCCGCGGCGGGGGGAGGGTTGGAGGACTCGTGAGGATGGGGGGGGGTGCAGGGTCCTGGCAAGGCAGAGGATTGTCCCTGAGAGAGAGGGGGATGGGAGGGTGGTAGAGGGGCAGCTGCTGGGTTGGGCACACACAAGGGATCCCATCAGTCGGGGTAACAGGCACCCTTTTGTGGGTCCCTTTTCCTCAGACGTTGCCACAGCGCTCTCCCGTCGCCTTCGGCCCGAGCCTGTCCGTTCTCGGCTCAGACCAGTTCCGCTAGGCCAAGTTCCGGGAGCAGGGAGGCCAACAGCCACCGCAGGCCCTAGGGCAAGGGCTGGAGGGGGGCCTGGCTCCATGCCCCAAAGGGGGGGGGGGCCTGAGGCAGAGCGGGCGGGGCCTCAGCCAGTCCTCCCCTGGCACCCCCAGACTGCAGGGTGCCCTTCCCCCAGCCCTCAGAGCTATGCAGAGCGGCACTCCGGCGGCAATTTAAAGGGGTCTGAGGCTCTCTCCGGGCCCTGGGACAATTGCCCCCTCTGTCCGCAGGCCTGTCTGGGAGTGAGGGATAAAAATCGGGTGTCTAATGGGGCGTTGAGGGTCACCGTGCCAGAGCAGTGGAGAAGCAGAGGGATACGAGAGGGGGCAGAGCACGGGCGCTCGGTAATGTAGGCAAGGAAAGGCAGAACCTTCCCAACATGGCCTACGTGACCGACTGCTGAAGGCTGGGGCTGTGGGGCAGCAGCCTGGCCCCAGCTGCCATTTCCCCTGGCCGCCGCGGAGGGCGGGGAGTGGGAGGGATCAG